AAAACCAGGTAGGGTGGCACACACCTGTAGTCCCAGAGCTGGGGAAGCTGAGACAGCACAAGCACTATGAGTCTAAGCTGTATAGCAAGAAATAAATACATAAAGCATGAAAAATAAAACATTCGAGACCAAGAATAAACTTAATCAGGGAGGTATGGGACTAATACAATGAAAATTTCAAAATAATGCACTAACTAAAGACCTAAACAGATAGCCTCCATTGGTCCCTTGGAGTACCGTAAGGAGAAACAGCAACAAGAAAAGATAGACAAAAAGACAAGAGCTGGGTCAGGAGGTGACCCATAACCTGACTGGCAAAATGATTCCCAGAACAACAGTAGGGGCATTTATTTATACCTTTGCAAAATTAGTATCATATGATACAAAGTTGCCTAGTGACTAATAGTGGACATTAACCAGGCAGGATGCTTTTTATACAACTGAAGTAGCTTGACTGCTTTGGGTACTCAGGCCTAGACCTGCTCTCACACATTTGCCCAATTTCAAGCTTCAGTGGCTCCCAATAAATAGACAAACATCCTGTGTTATAAATTAAAATTCATAATATTAAGATGGCAATACTCTATGAAACTGATACAATTGTTAAAACTTTTCAACTGTTTTTCTGATCCTAAAATTCAATCTCAAGAAACTTGACAGTCAACACAATCTTGAAAAAAATAAATCTAGAGGATTCAACACTTCCCAATTTTAGAGGTAAAAAGCTACCCTAATTAAAACAGTACACTACTGGCAACAGACAGGGAATAAAAATGAGTGTCTCCGGCCAGCCAGATAGATCAGCATATTAAAGCGCCTGCTTAGGCAGAAACAGGAACCAGGGTTAGATCCCAGCAGGCCATGCCGGCTCTGCCCCGGGGGCACACTGAGACAGTGATTAAGACTGGGTGTGATGGCACATACCTGTAATCTCAGTGCTAGGGAAGTTGAAAACTGGAGTATCACTATGAGTCTGATATGTGTAGTAAGAACCTGTAGATTCTGTACTAAATACATACATTAAAAAAACATGAGTGTCTTTTGGGTATAAAGTTTTTTTGCTGTTTTGAAAATACAGCAAAAAGGAGGACCAACGGAGGCTTACAGCTATTTAGGTCTTCAGCTAGTGCATTATTTTGGAATTAGATAATGGTGATGTTTGCACAAATGTTAATGTTCTAGAAACAGTGAATAGTACATTTTAAAATTGTGAAGTGGTGAATTTTATGATTTTAAAAAAGTTTATAGAAAATACCAATCTATACCCAAAAGTGACAAAGAAGTGAAATAACTAGAACTCCTATAGATTGCTAGTTATAGTTTTTATACTGCCACTCAGTTAACATGTGATCCATCAATTCCAAGAGAAATAATACATATTCAAAAAAGACGTGCATAAAAATGTTCACAGCAGCTTTATTCACAGTAGCCTTATGCTAGAAATAATCCAAATACTTATCAACAGGTAAAGAGACATAAAGATAGATAGATAGACAGATAGATAGATGATATAGATATCTATTTCTCTCCTATATATGTGTGTATAACCAGAAAACAATGAACAATATATGTAACATGACTAAATCACCAAAATACGCTGTGCAACATAATTGCAGTCCATAAGGTATATATGTTATTTTTTACTTTTATTTTTATTTCATTCATCTATTTTTATGTTTATTTTTATTTTTTGTTGATACAGGGTCTTGCTATGTAGTTCAGGTTCCTAGTGATCCTCCTGCCTCAGCCTCCCCAGTTCTGGGATTATAGGCATGGACGACCATGCCCAGCTTTGGGGCTGGCACAGCACGGAGCCAGTATGGTATACAGTACTGGAGATCAAACCTAGGTCATTGTACTTGCCAGGCAGGTACTTAGACCACTAAGCTATCTCCGCAGCCCTTTATTTTTTTTGAGAAAGGGCCTCACTATATATATATATAGTGCAGGCTGACCTTGAATTCACAGTTATCAGTGCAGGGATTACAGGTGTGCAACATCATGTCTCACTGTGGCTTTTCTTACATTAATCTGCAAAACAGGCAAAACTATTCTGTAATAACAGAAATCTGAAGGGTGTTACTTCTGGTCAGAGAAAGGAGTTTAGAAAGCAGAGTGAAGTATCAGTTGACTGACAAAAATGTTCTACATTTTGACTGGATGATGATATAAATGTATGTTATAGTTCATTAATTTTTAAAATTTACATGATTAGACTTGTGTGGGTCTCAGAGTGAACCATATCATTACATATAATACATTGTAGGTGCTCAACACACAAAAAAAGCGGGGAATAAGGTTAGTAGAACATGTTATAATCATGGCTAAATACTATGGGTTTAGTGCTATCCTAAAGGTACTGACAGTTTAGTTCAGGGTGTAAGAGCATCTAAACCAGTTTCTTATCTGTAATACCACCTATAGATGACACAGCAGCTTCTGAACCATATTTTCTTAAAGATATCCACTCCCATTCTCCATCTTTGATAACTCACTATGCTGTATTCAAGGATTTGATAATGCTGAGTGTACCTTGTTTTATTAGCTCACTCTCATCTGAGACAAGGACTTTAATGCCACAGCTACTATCTAGTCCTATCCTCCAATATGCTAATTCTTCAAAACTAAAAACTTAAACCTCAAAGAATGTTAGGCCCTCCAATTCACCAGACTAAAGAGACTATAAAATGTGCAAATTAAATAACAACAACAGAACATACCTCAGAAGTAACAAGTCAATAGTTAACAAATGAATCAAATAGGAATAGAGAAGGTCCCACATGAGCAAAAGAAAAAGATTGAATCTAAGCTGCATTGCTATAGGTAGGACAAACAATTGATAACCAGGAGGAAAGACTTAAGCAAAAAATGGAAATGAAGGGGCTAGGGATATAGCTCAGCGGCCCAAGGTCCTGAGTTCCGCTCCTAGTACCAAATAACACCAAACAGAAACAGAAAAGAGAAAAGTGGTAAATACTGCAGAAGAATTAATTTGTCTAGAGTCCACTATATAAAATCTGTACTTGGGAGACCAGGGATACCACTCAGAAGTACAATGCCTACCTGGCAAGTGCAAGTCTCTGAGAAAAAAAGAAAACAGACGAAAAAAAAATTGTTTTTGTACTTGGATATGTGTGACATCATCTAAAAAAAAACAAAAACCCTATTATGTCGCAACTAATAATTACACTATGTTGTAGAGTAGACTGAGCAAATTCAACCTTCATTTACAAATGAAAAAATTCTAAAGTTTGTCCAAGGTCATTTAACTACAGGGCCAGTATTGAATGAAATTTGTTTGTTTTTTTGATTCACAACCAAATGTCCATCTAATCAGACATGATCTACTCAGTGTTCTCCCATTTTACTTAATGAACTATGTAAGCAAGTTTCTTACACAAAAACACTTCCCCATTTGTCTATTCCTTGACATAATCCCTTTCTCCAGAAGGATTCATCTCAAGAACACTTTCAACTTTGCCAGTGAAACTACTCATTGCAATGACAGGTATGGTTTCTATCTTTACTGGTCATAGGTAAAAGATGTGAAATTCAATAATATGAAAAAAAAAAGAAATCTGAGTAAGGTATATTTATACCTCAAAACCTCCCAAAGACCCAATCTTCCTCTCCTGTCACTACACTTTACAATGCTTTGTAACAGTATACATAATCTGTCTCAACTTCAAATCCATCATTTTTATCTAGCACTTGCCTTCACCTTCTATTCAAAGTCTCATTAAGAAAATCAACAACTTCCACAAGAAAATTAAGGCCTATTATTCAAGATTTGGCCTTTTTGGACTTCTTGGAGATGAAGGTACCACCAAGGTTGACTAGAACAACTAATGAGCTCTCTTACTCTCCAAGCAGTACACTAAGATTTCAAAAAGTCCCAATCTTTACAACAGTTCTAACTTTACAATAGCTCTAAACCATATTACCCTCTTTCACAGATTAAAATTTAACCTTAAAATTGAGGCTCAAAAGTAACCAAAATGATACAAGTGAAACCTGAATGGCAGAGTTTATAATTCTGTGACTTCTGACCAAGAGTTTTGTCCACAGTTCTCTTCTCATCTCTGTGGCCTTTTCTCCATCTCTTTCACTCTCATTTCGTCATTTTTTGCTCATTACTTCTTCATTTCACACGCTGTCAGGAGAAATTTCAGTTTCTCCATAGCTTTACCCATATTCTAAGTGACTTTCAGTTTTTAATAAACACAAAAACCTTTTGCTCAATCTATAGTTTTTATTTTGAAAATAGGTTCTTTTTCCCAAATGAAATTATAATATTGTACATGTATGTGCAATGCCTACTCTCCTCACCTCTCCACGGTCTGTTAACCTCTTAAGCATGATCCACGACGGAGATCAACCAGTACAAAGTCTAAGTGACTTTGCAAAAAAAATTTATCCTCTTCTCTGTCTTCCACACTGGCCTCCTGACTTACACACATCTCCAACAGTCTAATAAGCAGTGTAATTAATAAAGATAGTCTCATGACTGTCACTCTAGTTTGTTCAGCCTTAATCAGTCCAAAACAAAATTATCACTTTCCTTGTCACACCTGACCATTTTCTGGGTTTTCCATTTCATCTAACGGTGTCACAATCCACCCTCGTCTGTGCTGTATGATATCTATTTGCAAAATGATTACTACGGACTCTGCTGTCCCCGAACTACAGGACTAGGACAGAAATGCACTCTGCCATGTGTGCTCGCTGGGGCCAGGAGTAAAGTAATGCGAAATAGTACAAAACATCAGACAAGCTACAGGCAGAAACAACCAAAAACAACTTTTGCGAGGCATGTTTCCACTTGTGAAACAAAGTGGCAATATTTCACACACCTGTCAGTGTACTCCTCACCGCAAGCCCACTGCCGCGTTTCGCCGGCGAACGTGGGCTTCTTTCCGTCCCTCAGGGCGCGCCCGCCCAAACCCACAGAAAGCTGCCCGGCCGAGCCAGGCCCGGGCCCCTGCGCCCGGACGGCGTACCTGTAGACAGCGGCGGGAGCACAGTCGCGGACCAGCCGGTAAGGGTGCCCCCTCGGTGGCGTTACTCCGGTGACTACCTCAGCCAAGCCCGGACGCCTCAAGGCCGCGCCGGCTGCGGAGCAGCGGCGAGCAGCTGAGGATTAGGCGCGCTTGGCGCGTGGAGGTGGAGCGGGGCGGGGGCGGGGCCGGGGCGGGCAGAAGGCGGGGCTTGGGCAGCGCGAGGGGAGGGGCCCGCGGAGGAAGCACCGGCCGTAGGGGGCGTGGCGAGCTGCACGAGGGGTGGGCCTGCGGCGCGAGAGCGAAGTAGTGAGAGGTCGCGGAGCGCGAGGGGCCGGAGAGGAGTCGAGGGCGGGCGTGCCCCCAGCGGGCGGGGGGCGGGGGGGGGGAAAGCGGCGGGAGGCTGCGCGCGCAGCGAGAGAAGGCGGGGCGTGCGTACAGGCGCCGCGGCCGCGTGACGCGTTTTCAAATCTTCAACTGCCGCAGCACTGTCGGCTGTTCTTCGTTCCAGTTCCTTCGCGGCGCCTCAGAGCCGAGTCTCGCTCTGGATTTTCGGCCAGCGGACCCGGCCCTGCCCCGCGTGGAAGCTGCCCCGTCCGCCGGCCGGAGAAGCCTGGTCCCCGCGGCCGTGCGGCGCGGCGCCTGCCCAGACCCAGCATGTAGTGCCGGGTGGCTGCCATGAACTGCGGCGCCATGAGGATCCACAGCAAAGGGCCGTTCCAGGGTGAGCCCCTCCTCCGAGGACCTTTAACCCCCTCCTCCGCTGGGCTGCTCGCGCGACCTGCGAGCGTTCGCGGGCTCCGGCCTGCGGGGAGCCGGTTCCGGCCGGCCCGAATCCGGCGGTACCGCGCACCCGTTCCCGGTTTCCTCCTTCGCGATTGGATTTTGGTCTTTTAAGTTTTATTTGCTTTCACTGCTACCTGGAAGTGGAGGTATTTGAGACACAGACTTTGTTGTTTATGCACAAACAGGGAAACGTTAATCATTTGGTGAAACTTACGCATCTAAAGTCTTTCGTATGCCTGTAGTCTCCAACTAAAAGAGAGGTTGTGTTCTAAAAGTTTAAAGCAGGTGATTGTATCCTAGGTGTTTTGAGTGAAAATAATAAAACGGTGACATCCTTAACGGACCTTTAAGTTCTTGATGAAACTAGAGCAGTTACCAGCCGTTGGGGACTAAATCGTTCTGGATGAATTTGTGTTGCTGAGTGTTGAACATTTTAAGCATCAGTTTTGAGTGTTCAGCAGAATACCAGAAAGTCGATAAATATTTGAGTAAATACCTCCATGAAGTGTACATCTTAAAGGTTTTGAGGAAAAGTCATATAATCAGTGACTTAATCCTGTTGATTCATTTGCTGATTTCTAATAGAAAGTAGGGTATTTTGCTTTTATACTAAGTAACAATATTTAAATGTTAATAGCTTAAATTGGTGTGATAAGGCTTTTTCCTTTTGTGATACGATTATTGCATAATAAAATAGTTTTAAAACTAACACTTAACTGTAAGAAAGGATTAATTCTAAACTTTTTTAAATACAGGTGGAATTCAAGTCAAAAATGAAAAGAACAGATCATCTTTGAAATCTCTTAAAAGTAATAACAGATCAGAAAAATCCAAATATAAGCCACTCTGGGGAAAAGTGTTTTACCTTGACTTACCTTCTGTCACCTTATCAGAAAAACTACAAAAGGACATAAAGGACCTAGGAGGCGTAAGTGAAAATTATACATTGACCAAAAAGTAAAAATTGATAACTAGTGCTTTCTGATAATCGTTTAAAATTTTCATTTTGAGGTATTTATAACCAGCCATCTATTACACCAAGCTTCATTTTTTTTCAGCTGTTTTTCATTGTGAACAGCCATGTGGAGACAGGAGTACGGTTAGCATGCCGCAAGATTCAGTCCCAAAGCAAAAAACAAAGTTAGAAAAGGACAAAAAATACATTTTTTTTAACAAATTTTCCTAAACCTCTTTTGTAGCCTCTGTCATTATGGAACATAGAAAACCTGTTCAACCCACAGAGTTAAATTGGCTTAGTATCCCACATATCTTTTTTTTTTTTTTTTTTTGTGCGGAACTGGGATTGAACTCAGTCCCTTGCGCTTGCCAGGCAAGCGCTTATTCTACTGAGCCATCTCCCTGGCCTCCCCACGTATCTTAAGAGATACTTTCAACATGGTGAATGTCACTGCCATTAAAAGAAAAGAATTAAAATTTAAAGTTTAATTTTTAGATTATGTATTCTAAGATTAAGCATTAAACCTTTCCAAAAAATAAAATAAAAAAAGAGGGGGCCGGGGAAATGGCTCAGTGGAATAAGTGCTT